CATCTTTGCTCCCCAGGAACCCAGGCATACATTCAATTCAATTCATCAATTTCTCAGTTAAAGGCATGAGGTGATTAATGTAAGAGGCTTGTCTTGAAGCTGTTCATTCATATCGGCTTCCAGTCAAAGATTGAAATTCATGAGCACACCATTCAGAACATTTTCCACAGGAGCTGACTCTATTCCCCTCTTTGATGAAGTGCCATTTCTTCTAAGGGTAGGGCAGTCATGGTTAACTAATTATTGGTAACTCTGAAGTTACCTCAAGGTTGTCGACTTCGCTGTGTTGTTTCCTGTGGGAGACTGGGAATGAAAACTCAAAGAGACATAGGACCATGTGCCCTTAAGGCTCAGAGGGACTCGAGATGTCATCAGGCTCAACAGAAGCATGTTATGGAGGAAGAAATGGAGCTAAAGGAGACTGAGTGCCTGTTTAAGGTCCCAGGCCTGAATGGCAGAGCTGGGCAAGACCTCTATCACCGTACCACTCGTGAACCTTTGCCACAGCTCAAGGCACACTTCTCAATCCATTTTGCCTAGGTGGGCAAAACAGATCATGGGTTCTCCTTGATGAGGCAAAAGACTAAAACTGTGGGCCAGTGATCGATGAAGGGTGGCAGGAGAGATCGCAGACGAGAGGGTGGAGAGACAAGAGAGGTCCCGGGAAACCCAGGTAGAAGAGACAGAGAAGGAGGGGTGGAGAGGGAAGTATTCAAGTTTTCATTCTCCACAATCTCCCTTTTTCCCATGGTTGCTCATGATGGTGAGAATTGGTGAAGCTACATTTTGAGACTCTTTTTCCTTTTTCTTGGATCGCAATAATTAGTCGTGTCAAGATGACCACTCCAATGACAATGTGATTTCAATGAGAAAAAGTGGAGGAATAAACTATAATTATTTGGACAGTCATTCGATCAGTTTTTCTTTGTCTTGTCATATTTTAAATGATTAATGAAGTTGTATGTGGGTGTCTGCTGAAGAGGTTACTGAACATGTTTTAAAGCCTTCTTTTTTTTTGCTTTTTCTTTTCCATTTCAAGTACATAACAGTTTGTGGGATTTTTAAAAACTCTCAGTTTGAATTAAATAGAATCACAGACCACTTAATCTAATTTAAACTCCAATGTCACATGCTCTTGACATTAGCTGTGTAGAAAATAAACATTTTTCTTCTCCAAGGAGCCTAATATGTGAGCCATTGCTCCTAGCACAGCATTTCCTAAAGAGTTTGGAGCTTTAGATAAGTAGAGATGATCTCAGAAAGAAAGGTCTATGACTTAAAAAAAAAAAAAAAAAAAAAGGAAAGGAAAGACAGTATAAAGTTCATCCTGCAGTGACAAATCACATGCTACTTTGCATATTAAATGTTTTGGGAAGTTCTACAATTAATACGACTCTTTGATTATGTTTAATTCAGCATTTCTTTAACTTATTTGACACAGGGTCTCTTTATTTTCCTAAAATTTACTAAGATTCTTTCAGCTCTGTGTTCCACAGAAAACAGTTTGGAAAATACTCATTTAGCTGATAAGTGCACAAATTCAACTGCATAATTATGATTCATCGTCTTCTTCTAAACAAGGAAAAATAACCTGAAAATGAAACATATTAAGGGTGATTGTTTTGAAAATCAAATAGTCTTTTTTTAAAATGGTGGAAAATCATAGTTTTAAATAATTATTAGAAAATTTTGCCTTGAAAATATTTTAGAAATATAAAAAACTAAAAATATTCTAGTATTGAGAAAATAAGCTGTGATGTAATTTAACAGTAATTCGAATCACCTACCACATATAACTGTGCAACACCTAAGACTTGCTTTATAATCATAATCCTAGAACAGTCTTGAATTCAAACAAGTTCTGCTACAGTAGATTCTAAGTGGCAGCTAGAAGAGTCATTTTTAATCACTGTACCTGGAGTTCAGTACATGGGATGCTTGTACCGGTTAAGAAAGGTCAAGCAACAAGGTTGTGTCTATGAGCACAGCACAGTAAGGTCTTTGAATGGCAAGGGAACCATTTCCCTTTTATCTTTTATTAAAGGGGATCAGGTGTTTGCCCATAAGAACTGCACTCCAAGCAACATGCAGTTCTATTCTGGAATATGCCCATAAACTAGAGATATGTCTGTTTAAATAAACATAACATCATGAATATCCTACAGCCAAATGAGACAGTGTCATTTAGGAGTAAAAGCGGACAAAATCTGCTTCTCCTCATTTTTTTTTTTGAATGAATGATGCAACTTTGAGATTATCCAGATTTTTCTAAAACAAAGAACAGATAATCCTACAAATTCTAAAGTTAACCTTGGTCACTGGATATAATTCCTAAATTACATTTGCAAAAAAGCAGGTAAAGGATTTTTTTAAGTACTCTAACTATTGCACCTGAAATAACACAACATTTGTTATTAAAGGATTCAGGTTTGCATGCTTGCTTGGAATAATGTATATTCTTTATTTTTCAATGTTCAGTTGTACTTGTATATTCTTCAAGTAGGACTAGAGGGGAATTATTAGTTGCACTGGTCTGGGCATTCTTGTATCTACTTATTTTGAAGCCTCTCATTTGTAGCAACAGCTGCAAGGTGTCCCTTCAAGGATTTTGCTTTTTTGATTTATACTTTTATACACTCAAATCTCAATTGAGATATCCCAGCTTCATTCTATTTTCTGACCTTATACTATCAAGCCAGAGTGACCCCCAATCTCTTAGGACTGGGCTACATTCCAAACCAGGTTATGGAAGAACAAGGGCAGAGAATCAAAGCCACACATCACCCCGGTCCCAAGGAGACACTTCATGTAAAGCTGAGTGAAGGCCAGCCAATCCGCAGACCTCATTTATTTGCCCATGTGAGAATTCTCAACTCTCCACCCTTTGAACTTTTGACATTATTTTTGAGTGTGTGTGAGTCCTGTTTATACCAAACACAAAAGCCAGACAGATGCTCAGTTTGGCATGGAAATTGGCCTCATGAAAATAAATGTTCTCTTTTCCTTTTTTTTTTTTTTATTGTGTGTGTGTGTGAGGATGGACACTGCTGAAATGCATCATAGTTGCTGACATATTAGTGAATATTCCATGCATCTGTTTCTGGTTATTGTTCTCCTCTTGACATACCTGTCATCATGCCCATGCAGTGAGGCGTTTCAGATAATAAAACACCCTCAGAGTCTGGTCAAATGGATGTGATGGTCAATAAGGCTGTGAGCTAATGTATCTGGAAATCAACTGAGCATGAGTGCTTGAGCACTCTCATGCACTCTCCAATCCCCGCTTTGGGACAATATTGCTTCCACTCAGAGAGATGCTCTCTTGGACTGAGAGGGAAACAGCCCGAGTCCACCTTCCACTAGAAATCTTTTCAAAGTCCTCATTCCCACAAAACACCCAGTCTGACTTTCAGGAGATATAAAATTAACCTGGTTAAATACAGATTTTTTAAATTGTTATTCACACCAATTTATAATGTATCTTTGTTACTGAATGTGAAATTGGATGTTTAGCACTGAGCACAGTGCCTAGGCATGATTAGCACTTAAAACACTAAGTTGGTCTTTTTGTCATTATAATATTGAGTCTGATACACTCCGGTGAAATAAACATATTTCTTTTTTGTACGTAAGGTAGCTTGCGCATGGAGACCAGGTTGCTGGCCTCACCCAGGTTACACATCCAGCAAATGGAAGGATCACTCGCCTCTCTCATACCGATGAGAACAAGTGGCAATGACTTCGTCATGATGGAGGTTCAGTGAGGAGCACAAATCTTTATAGTGTGAACCTGATTCATGGTATGTTAATGATAGGCTAATAAGCCACGAAATGACCTCTAACAGTTGTTTAAAAAACAATTCAATTTGAGTATAGGCTATTTCTAAACCCCAATTTATGTCCTATTGAAAAACTAACCTCATCAATCAGTGAATGAGACCAACATTTGGAACAAAAGAAAATAGCATCCTCGCTTTTTTCAGTAGTGCCTTGTAAATGTAGTAAATGTCTGTTGGATTATCCTATTTATAAGGCCTTTGTTTTTTCTTACTGTAAACTCTTAAGGACGCTCCGTTGCCTGGTACAATTCAATATGAGTGGAGCTTGCAGGGGTCTTGATCTCTACATACAGTGCACCACAGGAGTGATTTATAAACCACAGTCCCACAGCATCCCAGGAACGGGAGTGAATTGAAGCTTCTAAGTGAACACAAGTGCTATGAATTGCAATGTTAGACCAGCACAAGAAATGTCCCCAAACTCATTTCCTGCAAGTGAGAATGGGGATGTGGTTGGAGGGAATTAGGGGGAATGGCAAACCCCATAAGGAATGAGGTTGGTACCCAATTAGCTTCTTTTCATATTATGGGTTTAGGGAGGCCAAGTAATCCCAAGATGGCTCCAGTCATTTTCACATTGGCAAAGAGGAACAATATCGCTTTTTAATAGTGTGAGGTCGGAGAAAAAAAGGGCAGAGGGAGGAGAGGGGAGAACAAACCAGAGGAGGATTGTGAATGCACGGAATTCCCTGGGCATGAACATTTTTGTGAAAAATAAAAGAAAGAAAGGAGATTAAAAAATTAATAACTTGAATGTGTGATCAATAAAAATAATTATCATCTTCCACTCCATTTTTCATAAGGCACTCAGTGGCCTGAAAGTAATTTCTGACATAGACATAGGAGCAAAGCATTGCACAAAAATTTCCTCTTTTTAAAAAGACTTTCCTTTTCCAATCTCAATGTGTTTTTTCCCTCCTGTCTTCTACACTCAACCGTTTGGTCTAAAGACAGTCAGGGAGCTAAATATATATTAATTAGAACTCTTGGGGCTGGCATCAGTGAGATACAATTATACCAAACGGATGCCATTCCAGGCTCTGATAGCTTCATTTAAATTCCTGAATAAAACATGAAATATCTTTAATGAGAAATGAATATAGTTCTCAGGAGGGAGTAGTCCTGATATTGTTACTAGTCGAGATATAGAAGATGAAGACATAATGTGAATACCTTCCATTTTATATAAAAATGACGGTTGTTAGAAAAGACATATCCCTCTTCTGAGACATCATGTGAACTGCAAAATCAAAAATTATAGTGCCTAACAGCAGAGTTTCCTCCCAAGGAACTGCAGCGTTGGAGCTTCTGTGAATTCGCAGAAAGGAACACATTCTGTCTGTTACCAGGAAAACGGATCACCTCAAACAGCATCAGTGAGAGTAAACACGTGCCACTCCATCGAGCAAATCGCTGCTGCTTTCTAAGCAAGAGGTGAGTGTGATTTCATATCCATAAACATGTTGTCCACAAGAAAGAAATAGATGTGCATCCTTATCTCAAATCTCTACCCTCTTCAGACCGTCACTGCTCTGTTCTGGAGGAGGGGGAAGAAGAAGAAGGAAATGGGTTAGTAAAATCCCACTGTCAAGGAGATGGGAACCGCATGGCTTCTCACACTGCCCAGGCCTCCTCTTTGATCACAGGCCCTGGGAAGCCCAAGCCCAAGCCCCAGGCTCCAGCAAAAGCCTATTCACCTGTTGGGCTGTAGCAGGGATTTTCTTCTTTTCTTTCCAAGGGCTTTCCTTTATTTATCGTGTCTTTCATAATTAAAGTTACTGCATGCTACCTTGCATGCAGGTGGCACCTATCTTAATCCCAGGTGACCTTCAGTAGCTTTAGAAATATTACCAACAATGACTGGGGCTTGCTATGACTGCCATCGAATTCAAAAGGTCAGTTCCCCAACCTGGGTGACTGGGAGTGGGTAGAGGGAAGAACTTTATGGAGAACTGGCAGACAATCGGTCTGGAACAAAATAGGAAGGTAAGGGTATATTTTCCCCCATATCTCCTGTCACAGTCCTGAGCTATTGTAAAAGGTAAACAATTCAAGACCAGTCTGGCCAACATGGTGAAACCCCGTCTCTACTAAAAATACAAAAGTTAGCTGGGCATAGTGGTGCGTTCCTGTAATCCCAGCTACTCGAGAGGCTGAGGCAGGAGAATTGATTGAACTGGGACCCAGGAGGCAGAGGCTGCAGTGAGCCAAGATGGCGCCACTGCACTCCAGCCTGAGCTACAGACTCTGTCTCAATAAAATAAAATAAAATAAAAAAAAAACAAAAACCACTCAGGCCTCTTTTTTTCTGACTCAGAGACAAACTACTACCCTGCCTTTATAAAGGAGATTGAGAGGTCAGGTGAAGCAACCAGGGCTGGTCAACTGATAAAGCTCTTGTCATCCTGTTATATAGCATTGCATTCATTGGACAAATAAATGAGTGCCCACGTGCAACAGACTGTGAGGAGATACTGGGAAAAGGTCAGCTGGGTTACTGCCCTCCTGGAGCTCATGGGCAGCAATTTCCAAATAGCACCATTGCATGTGAAGGTTCTCAGAACCTGCCCCTCCCTCCTAGCTCTGCCGCCATTCCACTCTTGGGGGTGGAGATGATGATGCCGAGTTTCTAATTGGCATTGCTGGTCCTGAAGCACACTTCGAGAAGCAAGGGTCTAGAAGGCTGAGCTCATCAGATTCTTCCAAGCCTCTGCATCTTCATTTGCGTGCTTTCTATGCAGGACTAATCTCCTTTCCTGTTGGGACACTGCTATATTTTGTTCAGTTCTTTCTGAACACTTACCCTTCCTTTCTAGGGTCCCCAGAGTCTTAAGTGCATCTTACTCACCAAAGTACATACAGCGGTCCCCTCTTATCCTTGGGCAATACGGTCCAAGACCCCCAGCGGATGCGTGACACCTGGGATAGTACTATGCTCCACAGAAACTATGTTTTTCCCTATACATACCTGTGATAAAATTTAATGTATAAATTAGGCACACTAAGACATTCATAATAATAACTAATAATAAAATAGAACAATATGCACACTGTAATAAAAGGTATGTGAATGTGGTCTTTCTTTCTCTCCAAATACCTGGTAACTGAGAGGTCTACTAAGTGACTTGTGGGTGGAGAGTGCAGACAGCGTGACTATGCTGGACAAAGGGATGATTCATGTCCCAGGAGGGATGGCAAAAGATCTCATCATGCTACTCAGAAGGTGCAAATGTAACACCAATGTGATGTTTATTTTTGGAATTTTCCATTTCATATTTTTGGATTATGGTTGATCACAGGTGACTGAAACCTCAGAAAGCAAAGCTTCAGATAAGGGAGTAACTACTATATAACCTTTTTTCGTAACTATTGATTTGTCTGGTGTTACTGCACTGGCTACATTGAAAGTTATTTGATGAAAGAAACCATCCATCTTATGTATCCAGTCTAGTTCCTGCCTTACAGTAAGAGTTCAAACAAATATTTGTTGAATTAATGGATGAAGAGACAAATGAAGGAAATGAATAAGGTAACTTGTTGAACTTTTCTAAGTTTATACATTCCTGTATAAAATCAATGCAAAGGTTTGCTTTTTCCATGTATATATACAGCCAAGAAATCCAGCTAAATAGGACCAATGCATTCAATTTTCAATCAATTTTGGGAAAAGTTTTTGGTGAGAAGTAAAAGGATATTAGTCAAATTGCTATCTGGTCTCATGGAAGAAGAGTAGAAAATTGAAGAAGTCAAAACAAATTTGTTTTGAGATTTCTTCTAGTTTTTAAGATTATTCTATAATTATTTTTTTGTTCAGAGTTAGATCAATAATAGCAGTAACAGTCCTAGCTAACTTCTACTGAGTCATGCAAGAACTGTTAAGAGTGCTTCATATGCAGTAACTCAATTTATCCTTGTTCCCACATTTTCCAAACAACCACCATCCCACTGAACAGTTACAGGAACACAGAAACAAAGAGGTTGTCTCTCCCAAAGTCCACCAATTTTTGTATATAAATAATAGCCTATTCTTTATCTCTGCAAAGATCACAGCAAGAATATACATGAGAAAATTGCGTGAAAATAAGAGTAAATCAGAGTACAAAAGAGTTTTCTCATCCCGACACATTGGGGCACATTGCCCAAATATAAGAGACTTTGCTTAAAATAATTTAACAAAATAACAAAGAACATGTCTTCACTAGTGATTTATGCCTAAATTGTAAGCATTTTCCAGCCTAATCAAGAGCTTTGCAAAGTTGACAGCCCATTTCTATTTGTGACTCCCTGTTCTCGTCTCTCTCATGTCCAGAGGATAAATATTTAGATTAAATGTGTCATTCTGGTCAGAAACATTCTTGCCTCATTGCTGATTGGTCTGGACTTTGATTTCCTAGACTCCTCCTGCTCCCGCCACCCAGGCTTTCCTCCCTAAAGCCTCTGATCCTTTGGAAGATGCAATTGAGGACTGGTCTTTTGAATGCAGATTGAGGGGTCTCCGTGCACCCAGAGGGCCTCATGAGTTAAAGCCTACACCACTGGAATCAGGTTCAAGCCACCATGGTTTCAATATTTCTGCTCATTTCCTTATTACTCATTTACCCACCGGGGCAGAATCCCAGTCAGTTTGGTTCAGTCTATTTAGGTCTTGCAAACTCCTTTCTCCAAGTGTGTTTGTGTGGGAGGTACACAGTGGAGAGGGACTTCTTTCTATGTCTCCTAATTCTGCTGCAACCCTGCATGGCCTCCTGTTCCAGGGAGGCAGGATACTTCTTGTTCCTTCCTGGGGATTTGCTAAAAACAGTCTGGATTATCACATTAGAAAATCTCAAATGTGTGGAAGTGGTGGGTGAATGGGGATGGCATCACACCTCAGTCAGGGTCCTTTTCCGCACTGTGCTGGACATGGCCTCAGAAGCCTCATCAAAACACTGCCTGTTAGCTGTCCCAGTTCAGTTGGTGTTGGCATGCATCATCAAAGCCTATCTTTCACCTCTGCCCCCAGTCTTGCTCTCACGCCCTATCTGCCTGATGCTAAGGATTTTTTGCTGCTTGGACATCTATGGTAGTGTCTGATTTTAACCCTGGTGCCTACTCGAACCACAGCTGCTTTCACTAGACCTGGAGGCATACATTGGTATTTTCAGCCAGGTGGGGGATTCCCTTACCCCACCAATCCTGAAGTCCTCCTAGTTACTCTCTGACTGCGTTGCTGAGGACCCAGCATGATATTTGGGCCAAACTTTGCAATTTAGGCCAGAAACCTAAAACAACTAAATAAAGGTTAATACACCGAGGAGGCACAGTCTTTGCCACGCTAAGAATCTCACCCATATTCAGTGTTAGCAAGATTGTCGATCATGTAAAAGTCTAATGATGAAAACAGCTATCATTTAGTGCAGGAACCCTCTGTGTACATCTGAGTGCTGTGGGTGGATTTTCTCACTGGAACTTCAACGAAACTAAGGGTACTTTACAATCTGGTCTCATCTACCTTTATGAATTCATCCTTCACCTTGTTTCCCTTGAACCATATTTTCCATCCCTGCTAAGCTAAACAGACTCTTGCATCCTTTATATGTATCCTCTAAAGTGTCATTTTACCATTGGTAAACTGAGGTTTGGGGTGAGAAGTAAATTTATACAATGAGGAGGTAGCAGAACTAGAGATCAAAGCTTCTCTGCTAACTAAGTCCATATCTTAACCACTGATTTATACTAGTAGATGACAAAAAAAAAAAAAAATCTTTCCAAGTTTCCGAGAGAGAACATCTTCAAGACATATTGGCATTCAATGACTGAATGTATTCGTAATAGTCATCTATGAAAACTTCTATTAAGTAAGCTCACCTGAAGTCCTTAAGGGCAGTTCCAGTTCTCTATAGACAGTGGTCTAGTTGGGAAATGAATATGCTTCCCTTTAGTAAATACATAACCTTAAGATTTTAGTAGTTTGATCTGGGATCCAAGGAGTCTCACAATTGCCTTTTTGGGATATGAGACTTCTGGCTACAGAGCAGAAGGTTGTATAGAAACCATTCTAAGGGTTTTCCATATTCCCTCTTTCCCTAGAGACTGGATGTACCTTAATTGTGTTGAACTGGAGGGGAGACAGTGCTGGGACTAGCTTGGGCACAAAATTTAAGACACCAAAAAAGGTCAACAATCAAGATCAATAACATTTTAAAACTTTTTTTAAAATCAAAACTATTATTATTATTATTATTATTTTGAGATGGAGTCTCACTCTGTTGCCAGGCTGGAGTGCAGTGGTGCGATCTCAGCTCACTGGAACCTCCATCTCCGAGGTTCAAGCAATTCTCCTGCCTCAACCTCCTGAGTAGCTGAGATTACAGGCACATGCCACCACACCCAGCTAATTTTTTGTATTTTTAGTAGAGACGGAGTTTCACCATGTTGGCCAGGATGGTTTTGATCTCTTGACTTCATGCTCCACCTGCCTTGGCCTCCCAAAGTGCAGGCATTACAATTAATACAAAAATCCATGATGAACAAAATATCAAAATTTTACATAAATGTGGGATCAGTATTACTGATTTTCTTAGTCCATTTGGGCTTCTATAACAGAATACCACAGGATGAGTATCTTATAAACAGCAGAAATTTATTTCTCACAGTTTTGGAGGCCGAGAAGTCCAAGATCAAAGTTGCTGGCAGATTCAGTGCCCAGTGAGGGACTGTTTCCTGGTTCAGAGATGGCTGTTTTCCCCTCATATCCACACATGGAAGAAGGAGGGGGGATCTCTCTGGGGTCTTGTGGGAGTTCCACCCACGTGACCTAATTATCACCCAAAGCCCCATCTCCTGCTAACATCGCCTTGTGGGTGAGGATTTCATCATACGAATTTTGAGGGGAAACAAACATTCACTCCATAGCACTGATAGTTCCTTTGCTTCAGACTCCACTACGAATTCAGCATGGCACTGCGTGGAGATGACATGGGGTGAGGGATTTAAATTTGGAGACCTTATAAAATCCTTCTTACCTGGTCTCTTTTTGAGTTCGACCATGCCATGAACATTGTTGAAGTTATTCTAATAGAAGGCAGGAAATGCACTTTTCCAATGTCTGGAGGGCTGGACTTAGTGGTTATAAGTAAGAAGCAATTGATCCTTTCTCTCACCTGCCCTAGCACAGCCACCCTGGGATCCCAAACCTCCCCATCCTGCCTGAAATCCTGAGCAGAACCCAAAGCTTCTCCAGTTGTCCCTTCTCAGTGAATAAAATTGCCTGCTCGCTTTTGAGTAAGAAAATACCTAGCTCAGGGCCATGTCAAAGTTAAGTTTTCAGCCCATTTTAAACTTATTGTAACTTCTGACTCTGAACTAAATCCCTGGCCGGGGGACCTTGTGTAGGAAAGGAAGGCAGGGTCAGATTCCTCTCTTCCCTGGGCCACTTTTTCAACCACATGTTTCTTGCTGTTCAGGTCCCCTCCAGGGGTCTGAGGGAGAAGAGATGAGGTCCAGGAAAAGGCTTCTATGGCAAGAATTGTTGAATTCTGATACTAATGGCTTCTGGCTGCTGTGGGGCCCGGAGGCTGCATCTTTTTCACATGGGACCACTTGGGGTAGGAGTGGAGGGATCTCTAGATAGCTACTGTTTTCAGGGCCTCTATTCTGTGGTTCCTCTGACATGGACAGAGTCTCTCCTGATGGCCACTTAAGACACTCTCAGTCCTGTTTTCATATCTAAGGCCTTTGGTGTTGCCCTCTTAGGTGGATCTCTCTCCACAGGACGCAATCTTGCTTCTTCTTAGGACACAGCAAGCCCCTGAGAAACAGGTTCATTGGCCCAGCCAACTTTGGAGCACAGATTACTCCCCATGCAGTCCTGCCCCTTACCTCCAAAGCTACCCAAAGACAGCTCTACCCACTACAATTTACATCCAGCTGAGAGTCAAACATCTGTCTCCATCTCCACAGCCACACACATCCAGCAAGGGAC